TATTATTATTATTAACAATAATATTAATATTAATATTATTATTATACAGGACTGCAGCATTAGTGACATTTCACCAATCTACTGAAGAAGGCTCTGCCCCATATGAGCTTAGACAACAGGAATATTTTTAGTAGAGGGTGCCAGAAGAGACTGTTTTCTTTTTGCTTCTAAAGACTGCTCTGAATAACTGTGGTTTGAAATTCTTGGCAACTGTATAAACACCAAAAGGTCCCAGGCTGAGTTAGAACAACAGAATATACAATCATGGAAATGGATAAAATACAATGATAAAATGATTGAAGCAACTAAAGATGCTAGAAGCACCTCTGTGGAAAGGGAGTTCCACTGAGAAATCCTTCTCCTGAATTGCCATTCCCTACACTTTTGAGGGTGGCAGAACTACCAAGAGAGCCCCCTCTGCTGATCTTAACAACCAAGGAGGTTTGTGTAATAGAAATGGGCTAAAGACCTTTCAGTCCCTTCTACCATGTGCCAGTCTGGGTAGCCTAGTCATGCCAAAAGTTATCAAGTAGACTTCCACCAGATCCTTTATGCTTCCCCCTTTAACTCTGGATAGGAGTATTTTCTGGGGGTCAAAGGCAAACACTTACAACAGTAAGCCGTGATAGCATCCAGCTTATTTGTCTCTCCCCAGCAATCAAAATTCAGTGGTACCTCAGTTTATGAACTTAATCGGTTCCTGAAGTCCGTTCTTAAACCGAAACCATTCTTAAACCAAGGTGTGCTTTCCCTAATGAGACCTCCCACCACTGGTGCCCTTCCTCCATTCGGCATCCATTCCTAGACCGAGGTAAAGTTTGCAAACCGGCCACTGCTTCTGGTTTTGCGGAGTTTGTAAACGGAATCGTTCGTAAACAGGGCTGTTCTTAAACCAAGGTACCACTGTAGCTGGCTTTTGTCTGTCTAACCCTAGGCAAACTATGGCTTGCTACAAAGGATCAGAAGTTACTAACTGTTGTGTACAAGAGAAGTGAGAAAGATGGCATAAACAAGCCTGAAGTTCAGTACCCTTCTTGTTTTGTATTGTAAGAGCATGGTTTGACATTATGTTTGAATGACCCATATAACTACCATCTTCAGCCCAACAAGGAATCTGGAAATATGGAGTACATCGTCATCAGTACTTGCCATGATACCCAGCTCTATTTCACCTTTTCATAGATCTGGCTGAAGCAGTGACACCTCTGAACAGGTGCCTGGAATCATTGAGGGAACAGATGGTCTGAAATAAACGTAAAGTCAGTCCAGATTATGCTGTTAGACAAGAAACCCCAGTACAGGTTAGCTGGAGAATATCTTGTTTGGGTAGGATTGTACTCTTCCAGAAGAATACGTTTTGGGGCACCTCTGGGCAGTGTTGCTTATACAGCCCCAAATAGCTGTGGCATTTGTTGCCTTAATATTTGTTTGGTTCATTACATATGCTCACTATTGCAACGTGAGGATGTAGCCACTGTAATTCATACCTTGGTGACATCCAGATTAACTGATGCACTCTGTGTGACCACCCTTGAAGCATGTAGACTTCTTTTACCTTAAAATACTGTCAGCCTACACTTTTTTGACTGGAAGAAGTCAGCAGGAACATATTCTGTCAATTTGTACCATAACTGAATTGACTACAACACAGTTCAACTCAAAAGTGTGATTTCTGACCTTTAAAGCTCTACATGGTCAGGGACTGAAAATGGCTCAGGAATTTATTCTCCAGCTGCTCCTGCGATTTACAAGAGAGGGCCTATTCAGTGTATTCGTTCTGAATGCCAGATTAGTATCCACTCGGAACAAGAACTAATAAATAGTTGCCCCAAGAATACCGTCACCCCTCATCAGTTTCCTTTGGGAAGCAAGCAAGTTTTCTTCCTTTTTCTAGCTTTCGAGGCCTATTTGGTAAAAAATGCTGTCTTATGCTGACTGGTTTTCCATAGCTCAGTGATAAGGGCACCTACCTAGCATGGAGAAAGTCCCAGCTACAGTCCCTAGCATCTTCTGGTAGGGCTGGGAATGTTCTATCTGAAACTCAGGAGAGACACTGCCAGTCAGTGTGGCCAGCGCTGCACTGGACCAATGGGCTGGCTTAGTATAAGGCAGCATCCTAAGACAATCCTCTGCTGCTTGTATTGATTTTAATTGGTTATCCATGCTATGTTTATTAATTTTTATATTGGAATTTTATATTGTACACCACTTTGTGAACTAATAATAAAAAGCAGCATATAAACGTGAGTGAATACTGTTACTTTACTGTTTGTTTTTTAAATGCTTAATTTTCATTCACACCCAGTTGTTCATCTCAAATTGTAATTTGGGGAATAGAAGGGAAGAAAATAAAAAAGGGCAAGACAGTAACACTCCACAACTCCGGCATGTGAATCAATGACAGATAATCTCTTTGTACAAAGCAACCGGTATGACAGGTTGTGTCACTTAGTAGCTCTACGTGTTTTTATTTCCCCCCTCTTCTCTTTCCTTATCCGAGTTCCATTCATAAGAGTTCATTTGTATTGTATTTGCAACCTATTTTCATTATTCAATTCATGCAGCGCGTATGTTTAGCACTGCTTTCTAACATTGTGACAGAATGAATATGTAAATTTGTTTTTCAGGGTTGAATTTAAGATCAGATATGCAATTGTTCAAGGAAAATTAAGACCATTTAAATCTCTGCTCAGTGGATGATTCATAGTTCACTGTGACTTACAGGAACAACCAGTAAAATTGCATGCAACCTATCAGGCTGAAGATGGAGACAGTCAAAGGCCTTGGAACCTGGCCATTGCCAGTGGGTAGGGGAAGAAAGTACTGCACAGAGCAGGCACCTGAAGAACAGGAAGTGTAGGAAAGACAGGCTTTTGTCCCTTCTTGATTAATCAGCCTGCAGTGAACCTAAAACCATTTTCCTTCTGGACTTGATATTCTTATGTACTAAATAACACCAGTATTGGAATGCATATTCATAAATATAGCTTGATGCCCACTACTGAAATTCCCAAGTTTTAACTTGAAAGTCCCTTAGAATCAAACCTTATTAAGCACCTCTGTGTATCTGCATGTTCCTCTAGTTTTTTGTATATATGGTTACAAATATATTGGATGGCCACTAGCCATGGATGTTTTACTTGATATTCCTGCAGTAGAGGGGGTGGAACAAGATGACCCTTGGGGTCCTTTTCAACTCTATGATTCTCTGATTCTAAGTGTAACTTGTATGCTTGTATCACAACCTTTTATTATAGAACAGCAAACTGTTTTACCTGCAGGGGGATATTTGAATACCTCTCAGTGAAAAGTATTGTGCATAACCCTGCAGCATCTATTATAGACTGGCCACCTCTGGCAATATTTTAAAAAAATTAACAGTGTGACCACAATAAAAGTATTTTTCAAAAGGTGCACCTCTCCGTATTGTTATGGAGCTAAGGGATTAAACTGTTTGCCTTCAGTATTTCAGCTTGGAATCAAACTCCACTAACTAGAAATTTGTTTGTGACAAAATACAGCCATAGTAGTAGAGGTACGGTCTCCAGTCTGTCAACATGCTCAGAAGAAGAATAGGACCATGGGATCTCACCCAGTAGTTCCTTAAGCTTTTCGAAATCAGCCTTCTTAAAGAATGCATGTCCGACTACACTCAGCTTTCCCTTGCCTCTGTATCATGAAACCCAGTAATTCCACTTTGTTGATCAGTTCCTTCCTGCTGGTGAGGACCAGGTGCAAGATAGATGAACCCTTTGTTGCTCCTTCCATCTTATGGGAAAGGAAATTGTCAGCGGGGCAATGCAGGAATTTGTTTGACCTTGCATTCTTGGCAGTTTGAGTTCCAACAGATAGCAGGGTTGTTGAAGTCTCCCACGACTACTGTAGGTCTCCTTTTTGAATGTTTGGCAATCAGCTATAGGAAGGCATCATCCAAGTCTTCAGGCCTGTATGGAGGTCTATAGCAGACATCCAAAGTAAGGTCACTGTTATTCCCCCCTCCTACAATTTTTACCCATATAATCCTCTGCTCCAGCTGCTGACTGACAAGAGTCCAGCACAGATTTCTGGACTAAATTTTGAAGTGGAATTCCAGACAATTTATCTGAAATACTATGGGACTGTGCTCATGTGGTAACTGTATTAAGACTGTTAAAACTGCAGAGAGTCTCCTTCGGTGGAGATGAGCTTCTAGTCTTTCCTTATCAGCTGAGTCAAAACAGCTGCTCTCTCCCAGCATCTGTCATCCAATTAAAATATATGGTTTTTAAGCCCACGTAAAAGTAAAATTAAAACAGATAAAACAGATATGCTCCTTGCCTTTATGTTGCAATTAACATTGACAGCTGAGCCAACTGACTTTAAAACTATTCAAAATAAAACCAAATGAAAGCAGACCATAGAGCTCAAGGGCAAGCTGCCTTACTTGTTGTCATCTTCAACTGGAAGTTGAAGTAATGAAATATCCCTGCTAATGCGGGATTGAAAAATGCAAGAGAAAACTTTTATTTCTGTGCTAAAGAGTGTTATGTCCCTGCCACTGTTAAATAATCAATAAAAAGGCACAAGAAAAACCAACATTCACGTAGCTTTAAAGCGAAATTTCTTTCTGGGTTCAAAAGTTCAGATAACTTTCTTAATTAGAACAGTCCACCTCTGGAAGTATATGCAGTCATTTTTGGCTGAAGCAAAAGCAGTGCCAGTGCTTCAAAATGATATATAGATATGCTTTTTTACAAAATAATAAAACATTTGTATAACATAGTGACATTCCCAACCTTTTTTGGTTAAGTCTTCTTCAGGAGCACTTCTCAAGACAATTTCTCAATAAAGGCAACTACTTTTGAAGAGAATGTCCCAAACAAATTTTTTACCAAAATGCATTGCAAATTTTACTATCTTATAAAGGTACATGTATGTGTAAATTCAAAAAAATCAAAACATGAAAGTAACTATGAGAACTTTCTTAGTTTGACTTTGTAAACTCAAGGAATAACATTATCAGACAGAAGACAAACATGTTTATTACTATTCACAATAACTATTTTAAGGTGAAAACAAAAAGCAAGGTAAGTGTCTATTAAGTTACACAGACTTCATCAACCTGCTTGCAAGACGAAAGGCTTATCTGAAGATAGAACAATAAACCTGGTGGTCTTCTCTCTCCTACTAGTGCCCATACCTAGAAAGAAAATTATTCTCGTTTTAGAACTCAGCAGCAGTTATCAGTACATAATTAGCTTTTAAATACACTCTGAAGTTGGCTAGCTGTAGGAGCTATGGAATACTATCTGCAAATCTGGAGACCATCAGGTCTAGATAACATGTCAGAGATGTGCCAATACCACCTTTAAGTTCACTTAATCTGTACAGGCTGGTTATTCTGCTATTACAAAGATGGTGATCAGATTTAAAAAGCAATGAATCAGTAGGAAACAGACATCATACCCCTATCACATCTGGTAATTGTCTATTGCAACTGACCCAACATATAATCGGTGTGTGTGTGTGCGACAGGGCATATCTCAGAATTTAAATGTGTAGCAGACCTACACAAATCCTCTAGCATAGGGCTAGGGAACCTCTGGTCTTCCATATATTGCTGGACTACAACTTCCATCATCCTTGACCATTAGTCATACTGGCTGGAGCTGATGGGAATTGGAGTACAACTGCTAGAGGGCCATAGGTTTGCCACCACAGCTCTACCAAGCAAACACTCTTTACTCCAGAACTATATTTACCTGACACTTTTGCAGAGTGAAGAGATGATTCAGTCTTATTGATTCATATCTCAAAGTACTTAGGGGGCAATGTTTAATAGGGGAAGCCTACCTTAGTATTTGCATAATGCAAAAAAAAAAAAAATTAACTATAACATAGACAAAGTGGACAATTTCCTGATATTACACAAATTCCACATGCTTCTTACTACAAGCAGTGAGCTTGCACATGTCACCTAATATAACATGCTTTTGGCCAGAAGTAGTAATAGGTCCAGCTAACCTAGTCAGAACTTTAAGACAGAGACCAGTAATCTAATGCTGCTCTTTGGTTCTTCATAGCAAATCAGTGCTCAACATGCCAAGTTTTCCATTAAAACATACTTGATCAACAACAGTGTGTCTTAAAAAAAGGGAACACTGAACAGATCCCTTGGTAGAAGGGAACCTCAATTTAAATGGATTTGAAAACCCAAACTACTCATGCAATGAGATGTAAACTATGCTTTCACTCAATGCCACTTTTCTCTGCTGTCTAAAGGGAGATTAAGAACTATGCTAACTTGCACTTGTTCATCTATATCTTTGTAAGGCAGATGCAGTGGTGGGAGGCAGAAGTTCCTGTTTCAGATTCAAGGTGAGCTGTAACTACATTGAGAATGTCTGTTTTGAATTAAGGGGTATAGCATGGATGTTTAACTCTACTCCCCTTGCTAACAAAAGGCATAAGATACTTACTTCTGGAATTCCCATTCTCGATTGTCTAGTGGACACACCTGCCGAGTCTTAAGCCAACGAGAGATACAATGGAAGTGGAAAGCATGCTGAAAAAAGAAAGCCCAAATTACTCAAACAGCATGCTGCAACCTGGGTGCACTGCAATTTAGTAAGTTATATTAGGAAATGATGAGATAACAGCAGAGAGCAGAAGACAGTCAACATCCAGAATTGTAGAATGTGAAACAGTTTCTGTGAGCACAACTATATAAATAACCAGAGGAATTTATATATGTTAACTAGTCACAAAGGAAAATACTACATTGGTTTTCTGTACAAGCTTGTGCTTGCTGAACACAACAGAATTTTGGGCTACCTTAAAGCAGCTTTAAAACAACAACAAAGAATGACTTTAAAAAAGATGGGAAACAGAAAGGGGCTGAGAAAGGCTTTCACAGTGAAAACAGACAAAATGTAACCTACATTACATCTACCCTTCTCTCCTCATAGTCATAAGTTTTTGTTCCGTCATACGAATCTACTTACTTTTAATTCTATTCTTTTTACGTTTTACCACCGCTTTTCTGTAAGCTAGAGTAGATATTTCAGCATATGTATGGGAACACGCACAAACAGAACCTTCTTTGCAGTTTTCAATGCTTCAGGTTTCACAGTCAACAAGGCAAGCTGCTTTTAAAACAGAGTATCTGCTTTCCTCATAACTGAAACAGCAGCAGTGAAAATGATAAAGAAAGCTGTATCTGAGCATCTGGTTCCCTTATGTACTCTTTAAGAGTTGCTTTGGAGATTATGGCCTTGCAAAAAACTTTGAAGTTCTTAAAAAAATTGCAATGTATGTACATAATTTGGGCTTCTTCCATGTGAAATTTATAAAAGTAGGGCCCCATAATAAAATGTCTTGTGCGTGTGCGTGGAAGAGGGTGAAAAAAATAAAAAAACCAGCATCAAAGGACAAGATTCCCTGCCCTAACTTCATATACAGTATAAATAATTTTAAAGTGCAATCAGTCTGCATACAAGTCAAAAGAGCATAAGGCTTCTTCATGCAAATAAGTAGTCTGATAACACTTAAACAGATTGGCCATTGCTGGAAGCTGGTAGATAAAAGTTTTTCCTCTGGGAATTCAAACCAGTGCAGCTTCATCTCTGACCTGCAATAGTAGCAGTAGATTACACTGCAGAGCTTTGGAAAGCTACCCTATTTAAGCACAGCCTTCTGATCTGCAGTAGAGGTATGATACAGCAGGGCCACTGAATACTATATTCAGTCTATCCTGTAATGTGAGGATATTGTGGGGGTAAAACTATATGTGCAATAGGAGTCCCATATGACTGGATACAATTGCAGGCTTGCTGGAAGTCACTGAACTGTAGCATTCAATGTGAATTACACTTCAGAGCCATTATAAACCACTCTCCCCTGTCTACAGGTTATTCCAGTCAGTAACATGAGCACAATGAACTACATTGACTTTGGATTTTTAAAAATGTTTCATACTAAAAAAAGAACTGAGTTATAAAAAGCAGGAACTCTTTGCTGTTAACTTTTGCATTTTAGAGGTGGTGGTGGTGGTGTAGACACACTTGTGCCCAATCCCGGTTCCTTTAAAATCTTGGCTTTCACCATTTATTTCTATTGGCAGCTTTCATTTCCATACACTGGGACATCTGTGAACCAGGAAATTACCTATCCAGGCAATGACTGTTCTCATCACCCTTCTTATATCTGTCCCTTACTCCCTCCTCCTTTCCAGCGACTCTATTCTATTCTTCCTCTGACATAGTTTTCTGTTGTTTTCAGCCATAATCCCATGCCCATTGAACATGCCCAGTCCTCAATGGACTATACTGGTTCCTTCTTCTAAATATTTCCAGTACTTCTGCAAACCTCATGGTTCTCCTGCACTGAATTGGCTGATACTTTCCTCTTATGTATGGGTGCTGCCAATTTGCCTATGTAAGTGTGGGAACTCGTTCCTGAAAATTAAAAATACAATCTAAGTGGATCAGGTAAGCCATTATGTATTTTGTGATGATTGATCAATTTGCAGGTCATAATTGTTTGAGAAGCAATGCCAATTACCTTTCCTGCAAAGACAGTTAAGGAGGACAGGGTGCATGTGCCCTCTTCATTCTTATATTCTTATTTCCCTTCTATCCCTAACTACTGTTTCACATCTCAGCCTTGTATTTCATTTGACCCTTGTTTTCTCAAAGTCTCCATGACTTTGATACCATAAACTTTACTTCTTGATGAAATATACTTCTAGGTAGTTTCCTAGACTGATATGAAAGTAGAATAGAGTCAGCCTTTGTTATAGTCGAAGAATAGAATCCTTACATTGCAGACACCCCATGCAACAGTGCATTCTTCGGAGGTAGCTGATGCTTGGTTAGCTTGACATTCTATGCCTGTGAGAACAAGATTTATGCACATGAATTAACATGATTCATAGCAAGTGACTCTAGTAGATGAAAAACAATGTAAGTTGTCGGTCAAATGTGGGCCTTTTAGAACATCAGAAAGGAGGCAGCATTGACAAGGGAAGTTCAGTATCACATTTTTTATTCATTCAAATATTTCTAGGCTACCTTTCAAGACTGAAGCCTTTCCAAGGAGGCACACATTAATATGCAGTTTCATCAGTGAATATTGAAAACATACAATCCAATCCAAATTACAACAGAACATTCAATGTACATAAGTCCATTAAGAGAAACTCTTGAATTTCCATCTTTGTTATATCATGACAGAAATGGCTGCAGCATGACAAATTTATAAAAGTATGCAGCAAGTGATATAAGTTTTCTCACTGTCCGCCACAGTGGGGTGAACAGATTCCCTTCCTCCACAACTGCTGGGACTGGAATGGGCTTGTGAGCTCAGCACAGGTTGGGGAATAAAGTTGTCCTCCACTAGGCTACTGTGAGCTCTCACCCTCACTAGCTGTGATGGGTCTAAAATGACATTCTTGAGTTGAGCATTATTGGAGGCACAGGGTTGTATCCAGTATTAGTCATATGCAGCATGAGCCCACTGGAGTGAATAGACACACCTCACAAATCAGCACCCATGTTGGGTTGCTTCTCAAGTTTATGGGAAATGTTTAGTCTGATACAGAGAGGATTCTCCTAGACCAGGGGTTGGCAAACTAAGGTCCATTAGGGGTTGTTTAACCGGCCCATGGACCCCTGCTGCCCGCTCAGTTGGATCCCGTGCGCCGCACTAAACCGGTGCGGAGCAGAGCGGGGACCATCTTCTGCGACGCTGGTCGGCTTTCCATTGGCTGCAAAAAGCTCCTGCGGCCAATGGAAAGCTGCGCACGCCTCCTCCGTGCCAGAAGGAGCGCCGGAAATAGTGTTTGCGCATGCGTGCGTGTGCACTCCGGCCCACTGCAGTGTCTGCAGGACTATGAACCGGCCCAAGCCACAAAAACTTTGCCGACCCCTGTCCTAGACGCAGAAGCCACTTGTTATCAAATCAAGCACTGTAGTATACAAAGACCATTCAAACAGGTGAAGAGCTTGATTTAAAATTTAATAATTTATTTATAGCAATTTCTATACCACTCAACAGTTAACATACAAGAATGATATTTCTATAAGATCTAAGAGGCTAAATTAATTTTATAACCGTATTTCCTTTTCTGAAGTCATGGTTTTTGCCACTACATAAGGAAGTTCAGTTTAGTGAGGGTCTGGGGATAAAGAAGAGAGTTCTGAAGCCTATGACACCACAATAAATAGGGTTCCTAGGACGAAACAAGTACAACTAGTTTAAATTTACATTGCAGATGTAGTTGCAGTTGTAATTGTAATTGCTGCCCTAACTCCATCTCTGTAACCTAACATCACAATTCATCAAGAGTCACTGGGGCAGCTGCAAAGTTACTTCCGTCATCACTTCCCTTCACTTTGCCATGAACCTGCCCATACATAGTTATACTGCTTACCTCCTACCTCTATCTACAGGTACTTACACAGATCCATAATATGGTTTCTGCAAATGGCACAGTTGTCAACCACGATGTCCCAAGCCCAGAGTGCAACTGCATTCCACTAGAAGAATAAAAGACATTTATCTGAAATGCATACCAATAATTTTTGAATGAAATGACTTTCTCCATTCCTCGCAATCATTCCTCCTGATTCAAATATTAACTTTTCATCCATAGAATTAGCAATAGAATTATTCAACCCCAGTACCAATGCACATTTATAGCCTACCAAGGAGCTCATCACATAGACAGATCAGTTTGCTTAAGAGAGATGGCTTTGAACTTCATCCAATGCTGTAGTGAAGTTTTCTATGCACAGACTTTTAAAAAATAATCACTTTATGCACCTGAATTGTAAAGAGGAAATATCATGGCCTAGTTTACAACCTTTTATTTTCATAGAATGCAAGTAAAACAAACCAAGAGATTAGGAAGTAGCTAACTATTCAATGGCCTGAACTATAACTGAGTTATAGAAGAGCCAGCTTCCTGACGCTTTCATCACTTCCTCCATGACTCTGGTAACTTCAAAATAAAGATGCGTATCCCGCCATACCCCCCTCCCCACAAGGCTGACTTTCTCCACTACATGCAGTTCAAGTCAAAGAGAACAGAAGTGTCAGTAACGACAACTCCCTCTCAAATGGGACTTGCGAGTAGAGTTCACGGAAACTAGGCCTCCCTGTGCCACCAGGTGATAATAACAACCCACCTGTTTAGTGCCTGCGCTCGCTTTCTTCTGTTACAAACCCTCTTTCGGCCCTTGTGCCAAAGACGACCCTCGTCGCTCGCAGGGCCTCCCTCACACGCCTTCCCCCCATACAGTACGTTAAAACGAAAGGAGAGAAAGCGGTCTCGGGCGAGAATGAGGCCTAGCCCCTGCCACCAATACTCTCTCCGTTGGCGCGGTCCCGAGTCCCGGCGGCCGTCACAGCCCTCTCACCTTCTTTACTTCAAAGCGCTTCTTGCCGGCACCACTATTGGTCCCACTCGGTGTGTCCACATCCATCGCAGCAGCCATTTTGGATAAGCCAGTCCCGGCAGAATGCTATCAGCGCGCCTGCGCGGGACTTGGGAACGAAGCCGCGCGGCATTTTTTCCTCTGCGTTGCGTTGTTTTGGCTTTTTTTTTTTTAAAACCCTGCCTCCCTCCGTGGCCGCCTCCCTCCTCCTTCCCCCTCCTTCCTACAAACAGGTGTGTGTGTGTGCGGGAGAGAGAGGAGGGGCCTGGTCACGTGCCGGCCGTCTCTCTTAAAGGCGCTCGTCAGGGCGGAGCCCGTTATGCAGGGCCTGGCGTCGTCTTCGCCTTCGCTCATCGCGGAGTTGCCCAACCCAAGGGCGGGGGGAGGAGGAGGAGGAGATGAGGGGATGGGCCCAAGCGCAGGCTCGCTTAAAGGGATACCCGCAAATTACTCAATGTCAGCTCCTCAGGAGCGGAGAGGGCCCCCAAAACCGACGTGAATTCGGCGCCAAGGCCGAGTGAGGGGAGCTGAGTGTCTCTGGCGTCTGCAAAATCACATTAATCGGTTCTCGCCCCGTGAGGGGGTTTCTGCGCTGCCTCCCCCCCGGGCGCCCCGCTCTCCCCTCCCGGCGCTGCCCATCCATCCGCCCGCTCTGCTGCCGCGCAGCCCTAATTAGGATGACTAATCCTTGCTAAACCAGTGGCGTAGCTGATCTCTCGAGAATCCATTATTAGCCTCCGGCATTGTGTACGGCGCCACCCCCACAACACTCCCCCCCCCACAACCCCAGCGCTTTTGTCTTTAGCAGGGAGATGCAGCTCGAGTCCCCCCGCGCGACTCTGCAGCATCGGGGCTGCGACGGATCCTATGGGCAGCAGCCGCGTACGAAAGCCCTCGAGCAGCAGATCTGCTCGAAAGGAAGCCCCCCTTTAGGCGACCGCTGGTGGTTCCAAGTAGCTCCGCGCTTGAGAGCAGGAGAAGCATGCACACAGATGTGTCCTGGGCATGTTTATACTTGTAAGCAAAGACCCGCGGAGCTCCAGGGGTCTTGCGTCTGAACCATCGTCGTTTCTGCACAATCTATCCAGGCAAGGCGTTAACGCTGAATGAAGTCCTGAAATGGCTTGGCTGTGAGGGCACCACGGGCAGCTTCTCCCCCCAGGAATACCTGCGCAAGCTAGGGTAACTTCAAAGAAGTTGCACCAGGGCATTATAAGTCACTTCTTATACTCCATATGCGCCTTCCTTCTTTTGATATCTGGGGGAGCAATAGGTGAGGTCCCCTAGGCCCCTGGCAACAACCCATGAGGAAAAGAGACTGAGTGCAAGAAAACGCCACCATTGCACTTAACACTGATGCTCCAAAAGCTACAATAAGATGTACACTTACTTGAAATTGAGTGCCATTGAAGTGAGTGGGATTTCTCCCGGTACATATAAATACAATTGGCCTGCATGGTTAATCTTATTTGTTCCTGCACTAGCAGTGTCCACAAGAGTGTATATGCAGCATAACTGAGACTTTTTCAAATTCTGGAACCAGACTAATCGGGTTGGCAACAGCAAAAAATGTACATTCTTCCCAGTGGACACTAACAGGACCACAATACAGTGGTACCTCGGGTTACATACGCTTCAGGTTACATAGGCTTCAGGTTACAGACTCCGCTAACTCAGAAATAGTGCTTCAGGTTAAGAATTTTGCTTCAGGATGAGAACAGAAATTGTGCTCCGGCAGCGCGGCGGCAGCAGGAGGCCCCATTAGCTAAAGTGGTGCTTCAGGTTAAGAACAGTTTCAGGTTAAGTACGGACCTCCGGAATGAATTAAGTACTTAACCCGAAGTACCACTGTACTAGAAATAAAGAAAATATTTAAGAATATTGTTTAAGACTCATATTCTCTTTTCCAACTCTTTTCTTTGTAAATTGCAAGCTGTTTAGTGTACAGTATAAACTCGTTGAGAATTTTGAATTCTAACTTGTAGTCATAGCTTGGATCCTGAATGCCTTGCGAGTCAAACGTTTTGGCTCCTGAACGCTGCAGACCCAGAAGTGAATGTTCTGGTTTGCGAACGTTCTTTGGAACCCGAACGTCCGGCACAGCTTCTGATTGGTTGCAGGAGCTTCTTGCAGCCAATCAGAAACCACGCCTTGGTTTCCGAACGTTTTGGAAGTCGAACAGACTTCTGTTCAACCTCCAAGGTACGACTGTACTAACAAACCCTTCCTACAGTTGCTTTTGAACTCTCCTTTGCCATGTGTTTATGCTTAAGATGCTGTTTTCCAGGTACCAAAAACATGTCTAAAACGTACATAGTTTTAGGGTACACAACACACTTACCTGCAAAGATTATTGTAAAATCTAACTTTAGTAGATCTAGTTTTATAGAACAGGAAGAAGAATGCAATGTTTCTGCAACAGCCAAGAATGTTTTTAAATTGGTCATGTTAACCATCTGGTGGGGCCCTGGCCTAAAATGTGGAATAGTTAAAATAAATAAATCCCTACAACACTCAGGGATTTGGAAATTGGAGATTTAAAATAAATAAATAAAACTCTTTCCAGATTATAATTAATTTGTATAAAGTTCTAGATTGCCAAAGTATCATTTTTATCATAGAAGATAAGGCTAATACTCCAGGTATGGGAGGGAACCAGTGGAGGAACAAGGTTCACAAGGCCAAATAAATATTACAGATACCTCATGATTCTAAGCTACACCTGCTAAAATGCCCTCTTTCCATTCAGCTATAAATGTTTCAGGAGTTCTGTCCATTTCTATTTGGCCACCTTAACTAAAATATTACAGTATAATGCACAAGTGTAGCTTAAGACTAATTGCATGTAAATGAATTAATAACTAGAGACCTGACTGCTGCTGCGTCACATTTTAGAAGAAACTGACAAAGTCAATATGATATTACAACATTTTTTTATTTGGTAGCACATATCTTTTAAGCTCTAAGGACTTCAGCTAGTATTTGACAAAAAGTAACAGTATTTAAGTTACATGAAAGCTGTATTCATTCTACAAACATTACATACAAAATAGAATGTAAATACTTTATATCTGTATTCTGTCTTACAGATTTTAAAACAATGAGAATAGTAGAAATAGAGATTGGCAAATGAAAATGTCCAATAAGAGGGCTAAAGTTTGCTAAATACTTCCTTCAACAAACAGAAAACACCACTTCAAGCTTTTGACCACAGTTCTGTAAAAACTGCAGCAAATACAATTAAACTGTTTAGTCTAGCTTTCTAGTCAGTGTATCAATAGATAAAGTAACTTGTGTATAAGGCCTTGCAACAAAAGAGGAGTAATACAATAATTTGGGCAAAGAGAACTAAGAGGAAAAATGTAGATCCCAGATATATCTTTTTTTCTCTGTAGAAATTATTTTATCCCTACTAGGCAATATCCTCACATTTTGCCCAGCCAATTTATGCTGGAGAATTATCCTTTTTATAAAGGGCCTCTTAATGCATTATTGCCAAGATTTTCCTCCACACCTAACTGCTGATGTTCTGTAGTGTAGACACACACTTCCAACTTCATCCTCCAGCTGGTTAATGCCCTAAGGGCCAAAAAGAGACACAGCCAAGCAACCTTCTTTACAAGTTCTTTATACCACCAGTTCTCAAAGGAGGGTAAAACTCACTTTTCCCCTCTCTGCTACCTGCCCCACACCCACCACAGGTGGACAGCAACCAGTGAAATGTAAACATGTCGGCAGGCAGGTGTTGAACAAGTCATCATGGCAAAAGGAACGTGAGCTGCCTTTACCTAAGGAAGGATCAGCCTAGCATCCGGCTGGAACAGAAGCATATAAGATTCCTGAAGTGTGCCTTCTTACACGTGTCTTCTGCGTTGCAGCCTCACAGAGGAGCAGCTAAAAATTGTACATCCCAAGTCCTTTCTTTTACAAAACCTAATGCTTAAATTTAGATGCTGTTGTCCTTTTCAAAAAATAATACATAGCTGTACATACTCATTTAAGTCTAGAATATTTAAAAAAGAAGGATAAACCTTCTGCTATTGGTAGAAAACTAGAAAGTCCCAATTTCAGTAGTGCTTTCACAAGAAGATGAGCACCAATGGGCAAAATGCCTTCTGACTGGCAATCACATAATCAGAGTTTTAAAGCAATGTTTTTAAACGACACCTTTTACTGATATAGAGGGGTTTTTTTTGTTCATATCAGAATAAAATATTCTGTACATTATATATAAATATATATATTATAATAATACTCTTTACAATATAAAATATCTCATTCAGAGATCCAAAAAGTGCTACACAGACAAAGTCTGATTGCTGGATAGTTCTGTAACATTTTCTCCTTTACATTCAAATGTTAAAGATTTCTGTTGATCTAACTAAAACAAAACTTTGCTTTAATCTCATTCACATTAGTTTTCATTTTTTGATCTTGTGCAGGCAAGACAACTTTTTAAAAAATCACATTTATCTAAGGATCGCATCCTGCCTTACATTGGGTATGAATACCCAAATGCAAAATACTGATACCTTGCATTAGTTCAGAATGATGCAGTCACATTTAAATTGCTGCATTTCTCAGGGGGGGAAATATGGAAGTGGAGAATTTATCATTTCCTGGTCAACCATCTCTCCGTATTTGGCCAAGGAAACTTAGACATGGCTTATATTCTAAAGGTGGTGATGAGATGTCCGCAAATTCCCCACTCCCAATGCAGCTCTCTGCATCATGACCCACAACATTCCCAATAGTTCCACAACCCTAAAGAGAAGATTTTTGGAGGATTCAGTGGGCTGTAAATAGAAGGAGTCAGAAAATCTCATTCTGTGAACATGAATGAATTCTGCCCTTTTCAGGGAAGGAAAGTTAGGTTCTAAGATACTGAATGCAAAATGCACATATTATGTACTTGGTTATCTATACCTAAATACAAACAGTTCCAGAATGTCCTTGCCAGTGACTCTTTGAAAAACCAAGGAAAAGGAGGCAGAAAACGTATAGAAAAAAGTAACCCAAACCCCATGGCAAGCTTCCTCAGTGAAACTACGTGCAAGCCCACCAAATTAGCTTATACACCTAAAACTCTCATTTGTATGCCTTGTATTG